CAGCGTCACATATTTCACTACTAGAAAAAGCATTTTCGCCAACGTTGGATCTTTATTTTCGCAGGTGGATATGACACCCAGAGCCAAATATCCGCCTACGAAAATATAAACCGAGGTGAATTTTCATCATCCGCCTGCGGAAATTAATTTTTCCAGGCGGACCACTTAAGAGGTCCGCCTACGAAAATACCTTTATTTTTATATGCGGACCTCTTAAGTGGTCCGTCTGAAAAAAATATGATTTTTGAATTTTTGCAGAAGGTAGCTTATGTGGTCCGCCTGCAAAAATCATACCTACATAAAATAAACTAAGTCCCCTATCATATCTTCTCTTCCATCTTATCCTCTCCCCACCACTCATTCCCCTCCCCCTCTCTCTCTCTTCATCTGGCCTCCCTCCCCTCCCCTCCCCTTCCTTCCCTCCCCTCCCCTCCTTCCGGCGGAGGGCGTCGGCGGCGGCGCCGGCGGAGGGCTTCGGCAGAGGCTTGGGCGGAGGGGGTCGGCGGAGGGGGCCTGCGGTGGCGCGGGCGAAGTGGGATGGCGGCGGCGCGGGCTGAGGGCGTTGGTGACGGCGCGGGCGGAGGGGGCCAGCGGCGGCGCGGGCGGAGGGCGTTGGTGATGGCACGGGCGGAGAGGGTCGGCAGCGGCGCGGGCAGAGGGCGTCGGCGACGGCGCCTACGACGACTACCACGCGACGACGATGACAACCACTGGCCACGTCGCTGCCCCTCCCCTCGACCCCTCCCCTCTCAGATCTGGCGGAGGGGAGGGGTACGTGTCGGCGGCGGCTGTGTGGGCTTGCTACCCCAACCCACCCCTCCCAGATCCGGACGGAGGGGGGAGGAGGCTGTGGCGGCGGCGGCCACCCCATGCAACGGAGGAGTTCACCGGCGACGATGTCTTCTTTTAAGTTTACATATTGTTCATTGTTGTTAACTTGCTGTGGATTTGAATCCAATACTTTTGTGTTGCAACTTTACACTATCTGTGATTGGATTTTGTTTCTTGGATGAGATTTGTGAGGATTTGTGATTTGTGATTTGAAACCCTAGGGACCGACAATATTTTTGCAGGCGGGGCTACTGTAGCACCTACAGCGCCTGCGAAGATTCGAACTGCCGCCTACGAAAATCGTTGGTCCGCTTGCAAAATTTGGGGATTTTTAGCGTCATTTGGATACAGGCGGAAGGTTTTGCCTCTGCGAAAACATGTTTTGACCGCTGGACAAATATTTTTTGTGTTTAATAACCAGGAGGAATATACGGGCTATTTGGTTTCAGAATCAAATTAAACCACTAAAAACTGGGTGATCTCTTCCAATAGGATTATATATTCCTCCATATATTGTATTTTACTACTACTTCACTTAGAGCATGGCCAACAAACATCCAAAATTTGATCCCCTAAACCCTGTTATGGAAATCTCTAATGAGTATTTAAGGCATGAAAATATCAATCTCTCGAAAAAAAAGCCCATATATATTGATATTTCTAAATAAAAAGGTGGGCCGCTTTAAAAAACTACCAACAGAATCATTCTCTCGTCCGCTCCTCCCGGTTATTCGATCAACACCCAATGTACATGATACCTTGTGCTGGCGCCACTATAAGAATCTGCAATTTTTTTGGCGGTCAAAAACTACCAAGTATAGCATCCGTCAAGTAAATACTACCAAATTTAGAAAGTTAGGAATATTACGATTTCCTTGGGCTAATCGTTAAGATTAATTATTCTGTCAACCGATTGCCAAGGAAAACCCACCAAGTCTTAAAATTACGGATTCTTGTGGTGCGCGGGAGTTCGCCTAGATGTGGATGAACGAAAAAACCGAAGTTGGCATTCCAAGTATCGAGAATCTAGCAGGGAACTGATGGATTTGTTTTTTTTTTTTGACGAAAATCCTCAATTTCTTCACAGTAGATCTTTCCTGTGTACAGTGCCCTCATTGATCAGTTAATTACTACAGTAGATTCATCAAATGAATGAATCATAAGTAGTGCCATCTACTTTATCTATGTTGGATCGGTAGATTAAATACTCCCTCCTTCCCTAAATGTTTAACGCCGTTGATTTTTTAAACATGTTTGACTGTTCGTCTTATTCAAAAACTTTTGTGAAATATATAAAACTATATGTATACATAAAAGTATATTTAACAATAAATCAAATGATAGGAAAAGAATTAATAATTACTTAATTTTTTAAATAAGACGAACGGTCAAACATTTTTAAAAAAATCAATGGCGTCAAACATTTTGGGATGGAGGAAGTACTATCACCCAACTTTTCTGATCCCTCTTACGGGCAGGCCCAGCCTAATTTTTGCCAAAATTATCACCATGATGAAAATTAATTCAACCCTTGGAGACTGGCCCAAGGCCTACAGGAGATCGTCTCTAATCCGTGAACTATCATGATGTATCACCACAATAATAATATTCATAATATTCAGTACAATCGACCAAAGTTTTGCAACAACATAACAATGTTGGAAGTAACTCAGGAAATTAGTTCTCGCAGACAAAACTATCGACACCCAAGATCTACATTGCTCCACGAGAACTTTCTTTTTAAGTTGTCCAACCAATCTATAGGAGTCTAATGTTTAGGTTTAATTAAATTTGGGGTAGGATTCGAGCAAATTAAAGCTAGGTATTCAGCTTCCTCTAATGAAATTATAAAACCTCTAATGTCTGATTTTATTGATTCGTACAAATGAGAACAGGAAAAAGAACACTTTACAGTCACTCCCAGTAAGAAGCAAATATTCTCAAAGGGGTATGTATATTTAGGGCTACCATTTATCAGAGTTAATTATATTTATCTACTGGAGATCTGGGATGGTATCCTTGTGAGTTTGTTTATTAGGAGGCCAGAGTTTGGTGAGGCAAATCTGCCTTCTGTCGCTGATGAATTTGTAAAAATGGATGAGTCAAAATGTTAATTAGGAGGCTGTGTTCGGATGCCCCTTTTCTCAACCCCTCTCCCTCATTTTTAGCGCGCACGCTTTTAAACTGCTATACGGTGTGTGTTTTGCAAAAAGTTACTATACGAAATTTGCTAAAAAAATCAAATTAATCTATTTTTGAAAAAAGATAGCAAATACTTAATTAACCATGCGCTAATGGACCACTCCATTTTCCGTGATTACTGTTCCGGATGGGAATTTGTTCTAACAAACACAGCCTAAAGGTAAAACAACATGAATGGAAACAGAGAACCGGCTGGAAAAAGAAAAAACAGAGCAATGGTGTACTGAGTGTTCACAAGAACATGATGCAGTCTTAAGAGTTCAAGTAACTTAAAATGCAATGAACTTGCTCCTATATAGCTCGGAGCAGAATGCCTTTTGCAAAGTCAAGTAACTATCATTTCCTAACTTTGTACATCTCTGGATGAAGAATAAGATATCAAAAAGGTTATCTCCAATCATAACTAATTTTTTCTTTTGTTAAGAAACATGGAATGGAAGCCAAATAGTATCAAATTTTCCAAGAAAAGTAACTCTTCCAACCAAAGTTACCATCAGCAAAGCTTAATGACCACAGGGCTGTTAAAGTAGACAAACCATCTTCTGCCCTGAGACAAAAATGGAGCTCCTCATCGTTAGTGGGATTCGGACGTGAGATTCAGAGATTTTCAGATTTGCAGCAGTGTCAGGCAGAAATATAGATATAATTCGCAGAATTAATTTGCATACGTCTGTTGCCAAGGTTTGGGCGGTGCAAATCTAATCCATGTATTTATGAAGTACGGGAGGTTCACTTTCAGTTTATGTTATCTCCATATATAATCCTCATGCTTTAGAGCTTTAGCAACAAGAAAAATTAGCACTAGATCTTTGTACTAAGAATTTCTCACTTTTGTCAATGATCAAGCCAAGACACATATATAGAGGTAAGTCTTAACTCGACAAGATGAGATAAACAAAGCAATGGATAGAGAATGCTAAGTCGTCATTGTCAGACCGCTCATTTCCTGAAGATGACATACACAATATCAATATAGACTCGATGTTGTTGTGCAAGTTTCTAGTACGATGTTCATGTACCTAATGCAAACATTGCATATTAATGAAAAACGGTTCTCAGCTATTATGGCAATGCAAAAGGTGATTCTGTATATAATTCTGATCCTCCATATACATTTTGTTAATGCAGTATCTTCTTGGCGACAACAACAGATAGATTTTCAGCAACCACACACACAAACAAAAATGTCTCCAAAAATCAATATTCGGAAAACTTCAGAAACACATGCAGTCTTTAAAATTGGCCGACGCATATCTGCTGCACTAAACGAATATACATCAGCCCGGAATTGCCATTGATAGAAAGAATCCGAAGCACAAAAATTTTGAGCCCCAAAATCTCATCTATACACCCAGGTCCTGCTCTCCTCTTGATAAGCTTCCAATCTTCGTCATCCTCGCAGTGAGAAGAAAAATGCAAAAAATACTGTGCAGATAAACGGGTCCAAATTTAGGATACAAACAGAGAGTTTTTATTTTTGTCAGAAATCATATATACAAAACCAAATGACTCCTAATTCTCCTGTCAATGCAGTTATATCTATCACATCATAAGCACATAAATACAGAGGATTCTTGCTATACGGAAGCAAGAGGCAAGTAATTTGAGATTTAATTCAAAGATTGGCTGGGTAGCATGTACAGAAGGCAAAAATAAATTTTGTTCATCTGTTACCGCAAGAAAACCATTCATGATGCAATCGCTAACAGCTGAAGACACTACTGAATATATCTGCTCGGTGACATATTCAGCTCGCTCTGCTTACAAAATTCAGGTTGAAGAACAGCACAATTTGGAAAAAATGCTTAATCCCATCAGTCCTAATCCCATTCACAGCCTTAACAACGATTAGTCAAAGATTGGACTTTTGCTTTTACATAGCTCTGAATTGTACGAGGCTTCTAGCAACAAAAGGAAAAAAAGGCTGAACACCAACAACAGAGCGCACAAGCGTGTAAACCAATAACTAACAATCAAAAAATGATGTCGATCAGCACAACACACTTAAATTTCTGTGAATAGATATCATACAGAGGTAAACTGTTGCATCCGTACATTGAATTGTTCTTACAATACAAATAATAAGATTAGAGAAACTGTGATGATGGGTTTGAGATTCGATTCAGACGAAGGTCCTCCTAATTGCCCTAATGAAAAGCTTCCAGTCTTCGTCGTCATCGTCGCTATCTGAAGGATGATCCCAGTGTCCCATCACCTCCTCCCGTGCTTCATCGTAGAGCCTGAACACCTCTGCCCTCTCACCGAAGTAGTCGTAGTCCACCTCCACGAATCCTTTTCGAGCGTACTCGTCGCAGACCCAAGCCTGGAACTTGGCGAACTTGGCATCATCCTCGTAGGCGTTGCGGGCGCAGGTGTAGAGGAGCATGGTGGACTCGTCCTTCTCCTCCTCCGGCGAGGGCACCAGCGACGGGTTGGCGCGCTTCAGCTCCCGGTACACGGTGCAGACGGTCTCGTTGGACTCGGCGAGGATCCGGTCCACCTCCTCCTGCGGCAACAGCCACATCTTCTTCGCCGGAGGATGCTGCTCGTCTAGTCCTCCGTCGACGTGGAAGACTCCTCCTCCGCCATATTGAATATATAGCTTAATTACTCATCGCCGGATAGGAGTCGGAGTCGGAGTCGGGGGTGGTGCGCGACCGAGGCAGTGTCGGAATCGGAGGTGCGAGCGCTGGCTTGCTACTTTGCAGGTCTGCCTGCTTAATTTGTTCTGCCTTATCACTCGTCGTATTAATAGCCTAGTTGGTAACTCCTGAATGGGATCAACACATCGAGTAGTAACGGAGAAATTTTACTACTCTTTCTTTGTTTCGTATTACTAGTCTTTTTTTTTTACTGGACGTATTACTAGTCGTTTGATTTGTTTTCAAACTTTATTGAGTTTGATTAAATTTATAAAAAAATTTAGCAACATCTAAAATATTAAATTGTTTTCATTAAATCTAACATTGAATATATTTTTAATGATATGTGTCAGGGTTATGGATACCACATACCTAATAATAGTTGACTAAATCTCGGCAGGACCCACCACATACCATGTTTTATACGGAAACAACCTTGTGGTACAGAAGGAGTTCCGATAAGGAAAGATAAATAGAGTTATATATGGAAACGACAAGGATTACTCGGATTGTATCTATATTGGTTTCCCTAATCTACTTGGAAAAGGGAACACTATGGGTATAAATACAAGACCCCCTAGGAGGAGAGGGGGGACGGAACAATAGATGAAGACACAAGATCAACATACAAGCCAACATACGCCAAGACAGGACGTCGGATATCGACTTCAGAGATAAGCATGGCTAGTCCCCTATGGTGTCTACGGATACTGATAGGAGAGACATAGCGCTATCTTTGATTTTGCCGGATGCGGAATCGAGGAGGAAGGCTACCCTGTTGTTGACTACGAGTCAACACTTCAGACCGCCAAGTCGACAACAGTTAGATAGGCTACTCCAAATATTATACTGGTGTGATTATGGTGAATAAGAGCAACGACCGGCTTCGGCCAACAGGAGTAGGGTTATTAATTACCTGACAATTCAGGGAACCGAACCTGTATAAAAATCATCGTCCCCATCTCTTTTACCTCAATCTCACATATATCCTAGTACCAACGATCCCCATATTATACAAATACCGTAGACGTGACATCAAACGTCGACAGTGGCGTGCCAGGTAGGGGATTTTGGTGCTTCAGGATTTCGACGAGATGGGTTCAAGAGATGGATTCTTCAACAATAAACTACTCAGCGACTTCGTATGTTGGGTGATATGACCCGAACGAAGTATGTTCTCCGACGGATCGGGATCTTCGTCAAGCTTCACCAAGTCATCGTCACTATAGATTTTTTGACGAGGGCTACTTCAACTACTTTGGATCTGGGAAGTTTAATCTAACCAGAGTACGTGCCTCGACAAGATCGGAACCATCATTGTCAACAATTTGGTTTATCGAGATCATCCAAGCCTCAAGATACGCGTCGTACCAAAAGACGTCAGATCATATGATATCAAACGAGTACGCAGTAAGGTAATTGGTGGATTGGTTTTTTAAATTAATCTACTAATTTCGTAGATACATCTGACATGTATCTACAAATGTATGCAATATTTTATATGCAATTTATCGTACCTATTCAGATCATACAGCATTGTCAGATCTATAATTTATTATGTTTACCTAGAGCATGTTATTTATACAATATCTATTGTGCGAGTGTTTCCGATGTTAGGCCAACTACGGTCTAACGCTGGGGACTCGCTCTGTTCTCTTCTGTATGAATCATGCTTGTTTACGGTTTACATAATGCCTGATATTTACATCTGCTCGTTATATTCTGATAATACTAGAAGATCCATGAAGTTTTTTGAGTACATACTCGATATTCTCTGCTATATGCCTTGCCTTCTAGAAAAATACTTTTCAGGAACAATTGAGCACTCGATTAGGTTGTGGTCGAGCACTCCCCATTATCGAGAACGTTCTAGACAAATGCAGATTTGTCGCAGCCAACCTACCAACGAAGACCGACGACCTATCTCATAGCACCGGCTATGACTGGGCTATTTGAGAAAAGGGTTGTTAACGGATAATTACTCGCAAACGATGTCGGCTTGATCACCCGACATGATTGTGGACGGACATCCGGATATGCTACAAGTTGGGTATGTGAGTCATGCTGGCCAGATGAGATGCACATGTAATAAACCAACTCTAGCGCCCCACCTTAACTTCAGATGGTCGAGGTACGACTACGACTGGTCTTTGACCAACAGCGTAGTGGTCCTCGCACCACGACTTCAGATGGTCGAGGTACGACTACAGCTGGTCTTCGACCAGCAGCGTAGTGGTCCTCGCTCCACGACTTCAATCGGTCGAGAGATAAGGCTACTCCTGGTTCTCGGACCAATAGGCCATAGCGATCTCTCATACCTCGACATCAATCGGCCGAGACATGAGGCTACTCCTGGTTCTCGGACTAGTAGGCTGTAGCGATCTCTCGCACCTCTACTTCTAGTGGTCGAGTTAAGGCTACACCTGGTTTTCGACTAGCGGTGTAGCGATACTCCCACTAGCTTTACTTCTCATGGTTGAGGTAAGGCTACACCTGGTTTTCGACCAAGCGGTGTAGCGATACTCCCACTAGCTTTACTTCTTGTGGTCGAGTTAAGGCTACACCTGGTTCTCGACCAGAGGTGTAGCGATACTCCCACTACCTCTATTTCTTAAGGCTACACCTGGTTCTCTATCAGCGGTGTAGCAATTCCTCCCACTACATCCACTTCTAGTGGTTGAGTTTCGACTACTACATGGTCCTCGACCAGTGGTGTAGCGATTCTCCCACTACCTTTACTTCAAGTGGTTGAGTTGGGGCTACAACTGGTTTTCGACCAGCGGTGTAGCGATCCTCTCATTATCTCTACTCCAACAAAGTTGATATCAGGTACACAATATCGCCAAGTGTTTTACCCAGAGATCCCTTACCACGACGACACCTAGAGTTAAAACTAATCCTACTGTCCCTTTACGCCGCCCTGGCAAGGCCTCTGAGGAACCTAAGGGAACTTCGGCTAGGGACGCCCAGAGCAGATAAGGCCTTGTCAGGTAATGCAGAGACGAATGACCATGTAAGATCCGGTCATGTAAGAGTTCTCACCGTGCATATTAACCAAGCCGTGTAATCGAAAATTGGGTTTTCCAACTTCACGGCTGGGGGCTAGGGTAAGCGTTTTTTCAACCAAGGCAGGTCAAGGGTCCAAGAGCCTTCTCCTCTGAGAACTTATCTCCGATGACAAGGCTGGGGGCTAGGGAGAGTGTATGACTCAACAAACTGACTGATCGAAGTCGGTAAAAGAGAAGACGCTCGTACACAAAACATTGGTTTGTAAATTTAATTCATTTTTAGTTTTCCATACATATTATAACATGTCACCCTTTGAGCATTTGCTCGGGGGCCATTTCTATCTAATATTCTTTTCTGAGTGTTGATTTCATGAAAATTCTATTCGACATTGTCGAAGACTCCATGTCTCTATTGTTCTACACCAAGATCGACTAAGGCGAGTATGACAAATGTTGACAAGGTTTCGTCGCAGACTTTGCGCCTTCTCGACCATTTGAGAACGGCTGGTGGATCTCAACAAGGAATACGGAATGAAAAGATGGTGTACCCGCCGAGATAAAATTTCTTGACTTCAATCCAAATTCTCGATTACAGCAAGACAGGAAACTTAGTCGTATGCTCTGTACCTTCTTAGTTGACGTCGGAGATTGACTCAGACAAACCCTATACGGTGCCTGCACAAGGCTTATAAGGGAAGTCTAGCGTTATCTCTGAACTCACCGAGAACGGTCACGTGACCTCGACAACAGTTATTACGAGGTCTTCGGATTGAGAATATGTACTCGTTCATTTGCATTAAAGTCGGGGGCTACTGTCAGGGTTATGGATACCACATACCTAATAGTAGTTGACTAAATCTCGGCACGACCCACCACATACCATGTTTCATACGAAAACAACCTTCGGGTATAGAAGGAGTTCCAGATAAGGAAAGATAAATAGAGTTCTATATGGAAACGACAAGGATTACTCAGATTGTATCCATATTGGTTTCCCTAGTTCTACTTGGAAAAGGAAACACCTATGGGTATAAATACAAGACCCTCTAGGAGGAGAGGGGGGATGGAACAATAGATCAAGACACAAGATCAACATACAAGCCAACATACGCCAAGACAAGACGCCGGATATCGACTTCAGAGATAAGCATGGCTAGTCCCTTACGGTGTCTAGGGATACTGATAGGAGAGACATAGCGCTGTCTTTGATCTTGCTGGATGCGGATTCGAGAAGGAAGGCTACCCTGTTGTCGACTACGAGTCAGCACTTCAGACCGCCAAGTCGACAACAGTTAGATAGGCTACCCCAAATATTGTATTGGTGTGATTATGGTGAATAAGAGCAACGACCGGCTTCGGCCAACAGGAGTAGGGTTATTACCTGGCAATTCAGGGGCCCGAATCTGTATGAAAATCCTCGTCTCCATCTCTTTTACCTCTATCTCGCAAATATCCTAGTACCAACGATCCCCATACTATGCAAATACCGTGGTCGTGACATCAAACGTCGAAAATATGTTTGTTTTGTGTTAAAATAATACTACGTTTTTATATAGACCTGACCAAACTGCTGAACGGTATATTTTTTGCAAAAGTTTTCTATATCAAAGTTGCTTTAAAAAATCATATTAATCCATTTTTCAAGTTTTTTAGGCAAATACTTAATTGATCTCACTATAATCGCATGCTTTGCTTTCCATGTTGGGAGGAACCTTCCTCCCAAACACAGCCTTACTCGCGTGCGGACCGGAGCGAACGTGCGATGCGAGCGCCAGCGGATTTGGGGATTGGTGCGAGAAAAAATTGAAAATATATAATTTTTTTTCCAAAATCGCGGTTAGGAAGCGCGATACCCAGTTCGCAACCGGATTATGCGATACCGCCATGCCATCGCAGTACCAATCAGCAAGACAATGACGTTAGCCCGACAATCTTGCGAGAAAGAAAAGTGAAGCATTTGAGCTGGCGACATCGCTTTTTGGATTAGCGACACCAATGGCGGTATCGCTATTTTATCGAGCGAGAGTGCCACGTGGCGATGGGTTTTGCGATT